AAATATTTAAAAAAAAACAGAAACAAAAACCAAGGTACAAACAGTATGTATAATATCCTATACAGGAAAACAAATTTTGTCAGACTTAGGAAAGACAGGGACCCTCACCTGTTCCATTAAAAGTATGCTAAAATAGTATGTATAATATATATCCCATTTTTATAAAAGAAAAAACATGTATAGACTATAAGTACTATGGATAAAGGACTAAAAAGTATGCACCAAATGTTTTCTTGGGCAATGGGAGTTTAAGTGATATTTTTCCTGTACTTTATTTTTTTTTACAATGAATATACATATTAATTTTCTAGTAAAAGATCAAGTTGTTCGACGATTCAGTCTTGTAGGCTATTTTTAAGACTAGGACCGCCACTGCTCCTCCCCCAGGAAGTCTGGCACAGCCTTTGTTCCATCTTCAAGCTCATCCCTCGCCTAGCACCCTCCACCTTGTCCTATGTTCCCAGCTCAGCTCTGCCCAGAGGCAGGGCAGGCTGGGTGCTTGGCTTACATTCAATCTTTGTATTTTCAAAAAATAGTCAGTGTCTCCAGATACATGGCCAGGAATACCCAATTTCTTTGAGTGCAGCTATTCTGTCAGGAGCATCCTTCACTCAGCAACCCCTAAGGTCAACAAATAGGCTCCCAGAGAAGTCAACACGGCTAACAGATCCCCACCCCAAAACACACAGAGTGGTGGCAAAGCAGTGGTCATTACTGATCTTTATTGAATGAGAGGCTCCAGGGGCAAGCCGGTGGGATCAAGAGCAGCAATAGCAGGATCAAGTATAAAAGTATAAAACATAAAGTGCTAGCACTGGGGTGTGTGTGTGCAGGGTTTGGCGCTGGTGGATGCAGACCTTGGGGACACAGGGTTGAGGACTGGCCACAACCTACCCTCCAAGGAAATCTAGGGCTGAGGGGTCTGCGCAGGGTTCTTGGCGGGGAGTGGAAGTGGCTTGAATGGGGCCCAACCTTGGGCCTTGAAGTAGGAGACCAGCTGCACAGGTATTTCTGCGAGCACAGTCTGTGCCAATGCCTCCCGAGGCGCCTGCCAGAAGAAGAAAGGCAGTCAGTGGGGGTCACAACAGCTTGACGAGGCCTACATTTTACACCCAAGAAGGGATATAAAACCCAACACCCAGCCCTGTCCCAGACTCAGATGAAAGGATGAGCTCCCCACCCACATTAGGAGAGGTGGAAGGGTTAACTCCCAGATCTGGTCTGCCCCACTCACATTCTGGAAGCGGCGGTAGGGCACAAACTGCACTATGTCCCGGGCAGCTGCCTCCCCGGAGCGTGTACGCAGGGGTCCACCATCAGCATCCAGCTGCTCCATGGCCTCGAAGTCAGCGCCGCCCACACCCACGATGATCACGGACATGGGCAGGTGGGAGGCACGAACCACAGCCTCACGTGTGGCCTCCACATCTGTCACAGCACCGTCGGTCAGCAGCAACAGCACGAAGTATTGCTGGGGGCAAACCCGTTCCTATACTGAGGCAGACCCTCTAAACACCCCAGCCCCACTCCCACACTGACAAGTCCCTTGTTACATAACCCTCAAGGGAGCCCTTGACTGAGAGCACCCCCCACCCCCACTACGTCCCATGACCCTCACCGAGGCAGTCCTCTGATGTGCAGCTTGGGCTGCAAACCTGGCCACATGGTTGATGATGGGTGCAAAATTGGTGGGGCCATACAGGCGAACTTGGGGCAGGGCCTGGCGGTAGGCATCCACAATTCCCTGGATGCCTAGAGAAAGGGCAAAAACACTGTAAAACACTGGGCCTCTCAGGGTTGTGCCACTCCTGACACCCCATCCTGGCTAAGGGGGTTTGGGAACCTGGGTACATTTCATTCAATCATCCCTATAACCCATGGTACTTAAACTTATCATCCAGATGAGGAAATTAAGGCCAAAGACAAGGAGGGACACTTGCCCTAAGTCACAGCTTGAATTAAAACCCAGATTAGGGGCTACCCTGAAAAACCTAGGACAGGTTGAGCATCAGATTATAACCCACTCAGTAAGATAAAAGAGTTACAACCCATTTAATAAAATAAGAATCCATAGAGATATTAAAGAATGGGAGAGAAGGGAAAGCTCTTCCTTAATAAATGCAGAAGAAATTACAAAATCATTTGACAATCATAGAGATAATTGACTCAGGTAAGGATCATCAGTGGATGCTAAACTTAGAGGGTAAGAGATGATGAGTAATTACACATTGATATAGCCTCAAAGTATCTTCCCAAACGACACTTATTAATTACAAAGAGAAAACCAGTACTTGCATAGTGGAGAAACCTAACAGACTGCCTCAGTCAACTGTGCAAAGTTAACATGACTGACTGGTAATAGGGTAAATCAACATCAGGTGCGCTGAGAAGAAAACAGCATCACAGCTGGTATTCCTGCCAAAAATGCATAATCTCAATCTAATCATTAGGAAATATTAGGTAAACCCACACTGAGGGGCATTCTCTGAATGATCAGGCCTGTAATCTTGAACAATGTCAATATCATGAAAGACACGAAGAGCTCTGGAAAGACAACTGGATGCAATTGTGACCCAAGATTTCCTTCTGCTGTAGAGATAGGACAAATAGCAAAATCTGAATAAATTCTGTAGACTGGATAATAGTATTGTATTGATGTTAATGTCTTAACTTTGAGGATTGCAGTGTGGTTATGTAAGAGCACGTCTTTGATTTTAGGAAACACACTGAGTATTTAGGGATAAAAGGCCACATGAATGGAAGATGGGTGCAAAGCTGGTGGGGCCATAGAGGCAAACTTGGGGCAGGGCTTTTTCACTATAATTCTCATCATTTCAGAAAAAAAAAAAAGAAACAAATGTGTATATATGGTGGGGGGAGAGGGGTAGAGAGAATGTGAGTATAATAAACCAAATGTGGTGAAATGCTCATGTTTGGCGAGTCTGGGTGAAGGTAAGCAATAGCCCCTTTGACCCAGGCCCTGATCCCTGAGCTCCAATGACCTGATCCCCTACAGCAATTCTTGCAACTTTTCTGCAAGTCTGAACTCACATTAAAATAAAAACTCAGGTCAGGTCAAGTTTTCCACTTCAGCCTGTTGCCCATGTAGAGGTGGCTAGGAGCCACGAGATCTGGCCTTCTCTAGACGAGCTCGGGGCAAAAGGCACCCTGAAACGAGCTGATGCCTCAATAAGTACCTGTGAGCTTCTAGGCAGAGATGATAATGATAATATAATAGCCATCATTTTTTTAGAGAGCATTTAGTATGCGCCAAGCTTACTGTTTCACACTTTACATACATCCTCTCCTTAAAAATTCAATATCCTGCAATATTGGAACCTACAAGCATACGGATGCTGAGCCACAAGTCACATGGTGAGTAAGCGGCAGGATGAAGATTTGACTACAGAGTCCTAGCTCTAAAATCCAGTCTTGCGGACAATGGAGTCAGGTGTCTGCTCCCCACCCCCACTCTCCCTTGCTAGCACAGGCTTGGCCCTCTAGGTATGGACGGATCTGCCTTATGCTGGAGGATGCAGGACTTACCTGAGCAGTAAGGGTTACTGGGGTTGAAGTTCAAGGGAAATTCATGGGAGACCTGAGGGCAAGAATGAAAATGAGGTCCTTTCCCCGTGACCACGTTTGTACTAAGAAAAAGGGAACTATGGTATGTACCAAGCTTCGTATAGGAGCTATTCAGTCCTGAGCACTTGTACACATGCCCGCAAGGGGACACAACCCCGCATCTCCCCGTAAAGCTGGGAGCCAGGCAGCAAGTTCACTGCTTCCCCAAATCAGGACCCTGAAACTGAAAACACGAGTGTAGGAGGGGAAGAGAGTGCTCACCTGCCAGTCAGGGGGCACCTGGGCCCCAAATCCAAATGCTGGGAACAGCTTGTCCCTGTGGGAGGACAGTGAGTTGGGAAGAGCAGTGAGGGGACGGTGAGCCCAGAGGCTGAAGCATCCCCAGGGAGTGGGGGTAGGCAAGAGGAGTTACTCACGAATCATAGTCCTGAACCACGCTGCCCACACTCCACAGTGCTGTCAGGTACTCGTTGACCCCTGTTGGGCTCAGGTAGTGCAGGGAGTCAGGTGTTGAGGGGTCTCCATTGGAGCCTGTGAAGTCCACACCCACCTATGATAGGAGGAGGGGAGTTGAAAGCCACTGGGAGCCCCAGATCTGTTCTCTTGCCCCATGGTAAAGCAACTTACAGTAAAGTTGATTTGACAGCCTCCCATCACATAGTCCAGGAATGAATACTCTGTTTCCACCTGCAGATGAAACCAAGGTCATGGCTGGGATGAAGGGGGTGGGGGCCATGGAGCTCAGGGTGCAGAGCCTGGGTCACATGGGCTATTGTCTCACCTGGCAAATCTTGACACGGACAGTTCCAGAGTTCTTGTAGCTTTTCTTTTTCTGCTGTTTCTCAGGGTGGATGCACTCAAACTCAGCCTGGTGAGGAAAGAAAAATTAGGGTAGGAAACTCCCAGAGCATCAGCCAGGACTGGAGTGGAGCTGCCCTGCCCTCCTCCGCTCCCTGGGCTACCTCAGCACTCACCGGGGCTGCTTGCAGCTGGGCCAGGCTGGTGTGGAAGGTACCAATGAGATCATGTGAACCATCACTGTCATAGTCTGAGCATCGCACCTGCGAGGGAAGGAGTGCATATATAAAGACCAGGAGGCAGTTGGCAGGCGAGAATAAATCCCTCCCCAGGCTCTCTGCCCCGGCTCAGTCCACTCAGGAGGCAAGCTCCTCACCTGGATGGGTGTGCTGGGGTCTCCCCCACAGAAATGCTGAACGGGAACAGAGAAGCGCTTCCACGTAGGGTTCAGGTTGTTCTTGATGACCTGAAGGTGGAGGGCAAGGTCCCCAGTGAGCTCTGGGCTGGTGCGTGGGGAGCTGCCATCCTTTTCCCACCCATCTGTAGTCTCTTTCTCTGTGTTCCAGGAGATCCTCACCCCACCCCACCCAATCCCAGGGGGCTCTCACACCTCAGATCTGTATGCCAGGTGCCATTTCCCATCACCCTGGCGGAAGAACTCCAAGAACGGATCCGATTTCCCCAGGAAGTCCTGTCAATACCACAGAGACTCGTTATCAGGCTAGGAAGAAACAACCACGGTGCCAGACCTCTGTCCCCACCCCTGCCCCCCAACACACCATTCCAGTCCCCTTATTCTTGAACCTCCAGGGTCTCCTTCTACACACACCTTTTTATCTAGGTTTCTGGCCTCCACCTCCATGGTCACTACACGATTATCCTTCAACTCCTGAGATGAGACCTAGGTAAGGGAGGCAGGGGGAGACTGTGTCACCTCATGAATTCCTCATTGATGTAAAGCCTCCCCACCCCACCCTTACAGAGTCCTTCCTTACCGTGATGGTCCCCCGCCCGGCAGGTTTTCCAGGCTTCAGCATCAAGGGTAGAGTTACTATCTGGCTGGACACAATCTGGGCAGAGCGGGGGGCAGGTACATGTGTCACGATCTCAGGTAGGGTTAGGTCCTGCTTGACCACCCCCTCCAAGTTCCGGGCAGGCTGGGTTGTCAGACCTGGCTCTTACTGAGCCTGTGTCTGAAGGATTCTAATTCCTGGCCCTACGTACCTGTCCTAGGGAACACTCAGCTCCTCCTAGGAAGTCATCATCCCCCAGCTCAGGTGTCTTGTTGTCTATGTCATAGATGCCAAATCGGAGCTTCTGGACCGTTTCAAAGTGGTACTCAAGCTGCAGAGTCTTGGAGAACTCGGGGCTCGAGCAGTTCCGCACTCGCTCAGTCCGGCCAAGCTGTGGGCAGAGGCCAATAAGCATCACAGTCACACACCCTCCACCCCCAAAACAGTCCTAGACTCCCTCCACAACCCTAACCCCATAGTTCTTCTCACCTCAGCCCAGTTGCCCCCTCCCACATCTTGTAAAAGGACGCAGAGTGGGTCAGACTTGGAGCCGATGTCCTTGTCAATGAGGTGGTCACAGGAAATGGACAGCTGAACCAAGGTCACACAGTGAGCCATCTGGGGAAAAATGACCTGAGTCAGGCACCGAGGGCACTTCTCCATTTTTCCTTGACTGTATGTCCCAGTTTGGGAAGGCCAGCAGGCTTCACCCTGGCAGGGCTGAGCCTGCGTTCACCCCCATGACACCCAGGGAACAGAAGTCCCTATCGCCTCCATGCTCCTCCAATCCCCTTGGGTGAGCTCAATGGGACAGGAGGTGTTGATTACATCCAACCCCGGTCCAAGAGTATGATGCGAAGATGCAGAAAAAGTGGACTGGTCTCCACCAACAACTTCAACCCCAAACTAGTCCTCACCCTAAAACTGGTCCTAATCCTAATAATGCTCCCCAGACCCAGACCCCAAGCCCAGTCTTCTCAGAGACCAATGGCTCTCCTTCTGATCCCCTTACTGGCCCCAGATCACACTCTAATCCATGTTCCAGTCCCAACACTGCCCCAAACACAACCATGATCCAGAAAATGCTCTCCCAAAAGTCTCTTTCTCCGATCATTTCCCACTAACTCTGGGGCCCTGCGTCTTTAGGTGGAATTATGATTCCCCTGCTGATTCTCCCAGCTTCTCATCAGCTGCTCATGTCCAGCTCCTCACCATTCTCACTGCCACTACCCGGTCCAAGCCATCGCCGCTTCTCGCCACGCTTATCACGTTAGCCTCTTCAACTGGTCTCCCTTATCCTACACCATGCCCACCTCCATTCCTCTATCCTGGCACCAACAGGCAATTCTCAAACTCAATACAGCAAACAGGGTGATCCTGTAAAATCGTCGGGTCATGTCACGCCTCTGCCAAACTCTCTAATGATTTCCCATTGCCTAGAAAAAAACATCCAGCTCTGCCAGAACCTACATGGTCATAAAAGATCTATTATAGATCTCTCTAACATGATCTCCTAACACTTTCATTCTTGCTCACTATATTCGGGCCACATAAGTCTACCTGCTTGCCATTCCTCAAAGAAGCTTGTTTCTACCTCAAAGCGTGGGATGTTCTTCCCTCATATTATCCATGTGGCTTGCTATTCCCTCAGTCTCTCTAGGTCTTTATTCAAAATCATCTTCTCCATTATGAAGGAAAAGGCTCTCTTTTCTAGCCACTCTAAAATTGTAACCCTACTACCACTGACACATCACATATCCTTTTCCTCCTTTTATTCTTTAGCATTTATCACTCTCTAATATACATATAATTTGTTTCCTCAGTAGAATGTAAACTCCATGACAGAAGGGCTACTTATTCTGTTCACTGCTCTATCCCATGCACCTAAACGATAAATATTTGCTGAATGAAATCCAAAAGGCCACCTCCAGCCTCAGCTCCCAGCCTAGCCATCTCCAAACTGGGTGGCAATCAAGTAGCATCAATCTTCTCCAATTCAACCATTTCCTCCTCTGGGAAACACTATCTTCTTGCACGAATCACCATGGCTCCCATGTAATGGCGCCTCCTACAGTCACGATAACAATTATCCTCAGCTCCCCTGCTATCCCTGTGTCCCCCACAACCTGCATATACCTGCAGACCATCCACATCAGGAGTGCAAACGAGCTCAGCTCTCTCACCCAGCCTCACACTCAGCACGCCACGCTACCCAGCACTATACCCTAGGATGCCTCCAGCCCCAGCTGCCCCTAAACTGACCCTCAGTCAATCCTCCCTCTGACCCCGCCAAGTCAGTGCTGTTCCCATCGTGGTGCTTCATGGTCTCCATCTACAATGCCAAAGTTGGGATGATTCTTAGAGTTCAACTTGCCTCCCACACTGCCCCTCCATGGCCCCTCAGCCTCTGCTTGAATGCAACCAATGATGGAAAATCCACCACTCTTATAACCCATTCATCAGAAAGTCCTGCTCTACCTAGTCCTACCCAAACCAACCCAAGTCTGTCGAATTCTCTCATTTCTACACATTAGTCCTAGTTCTTCCCCAGTCTAAAATTCAACAGGAAAGCCTTATTTCATTTCCCTCTGAGAACCCATCTAACGCCTGGAAGCAGCGAAACCCTCAGCTAAAATCTAGAGGAACAGTCCCAGTTCTTTTGAATGTTGTCACTGAAGTGTGGCTTGTGACTTCTCACCAGCCTGATCATCCCTGTGGAGGTCCCCCAAGGATGGACCCAGAGCAGAACACACACTCCTGAGGGGGCGGGGCCCCGACTTCCCCCAAATCACAACCTGACTCCTGCTTCTCACCTCACATGTTCTCTTAGTGTTTGCACAGTACAGACAAATTACCCTCAGACCCCTCGCTCATTTCACTACTGCTGAGAACAGTGAAAAACCGGAGACACCTTAAAGGTCTGTCAACTAGGTGGTGGCTGAATTAGGGTACATTCAAACAACAGAATCTGAGTAGCAGGTAAAAAATAATTAAGGCAGAACTATATTAAATTGCTATTATAAGGAAACACAAAGTTGCAGGGCTGGTCGAGTGGCTCAGTTGGTTAAGAGCTCACTCAAGAGTTTGAGCTCTGAGCAACAGTGGTTTGATTTCCGGCCCGAGCTGAACAGCCACTGAGCTGCCAACAGGTGGCAGGATGGCTCAGCTTAAAGAAGAAAAAAAAAAAAAAAGCGCGAGCTTTGAGCAACAGGGTTGCCAGTTCGATTCCCACATGAACCAGTGACACTGCGCCTGAGCTCAGCTGCCCTGAGCTGTCAACAGGTGGCCGGATGGTTAGAACGTGCGCTCTTAGCAACAAGGTTTCCGGTTTGACTCCCACATGGGATGGTGGGCTCTGCCCACCTACAACTAAGATTGAACACGGCACCTTAAGCTGAGCAGCCAGGAGCTGCTGAGGGGCGGCCAGATGGCGACTGGACTTGGAGCTGAGCTAGCTGCGCCCTCCACAACTAAGACTGAAGGACAACAACTTGACTGTTCCCCTTCCCCAATTCCCCAATCAAAAATCTTTAAAAAAAAAAGAAGAAAAAACAAAGTTGCAAAAAATGGTAAGAAGAGTATGACTCCATTTTAAACTTCAACTGTAGGTGTATATAATTGAATCTATACACAAAATAAAGACACATACTCAGAAAAATGGAAGACACACCAAATAAATGCAACTTTCATGTACAACTCAGAGGAGTGGAATGGAAGTGAAAGCTCTACATACTCAACACACTTCTGTATTATTTTAATACTCTATGCTGTTTAAAAAAATTTTTTAAGGGCCTCATTAGCTTTTTTCCTCAATCCACACCTGATGTCCTCTTGACTATTCTAAGCCCAAGACCTCTACCTCTAGTCAGCAAACCTTACCTGACTTCAGGCCTCACTGTCTCCTGCCTCCTCTCTTTCTCCTCCCCTCTAGCACTGCCTCCCCTGTCATCCTTGATGCCAGCTCCCAAGAGTCTCTGCCCTAACTGGAAGCTCTGTATATAGCTGCCTACCACCCTTAGGTTCAGAGCCAAACTGCCCAGCAGTGCCACATGTGGCACAACTGCAAAAGGGCACATCTACAAAGAATTCAGTAACTGTATAATATGGTGACCCTGCTTCTCTAATTCAACCTTCAAAGCCCTTCCCAATCTGCTCCACCTCCTGCCATTCCACCCACCCACCCACCCACCCGATGAGTCATCCAAAGTTACTTCCGGTTCCTCAAAACATACAGGTGTGCTGATTCCTCTGAATGACTGCAACTGGTTTCCAAAATAATCAGTGTCTCTCTCCCTCTCCCTCCCTCCATCTCTCTTTCCTGTGTTCATTAGCAAAACAGAAACCAGATCATACCATGTCCCTGCTGAAAATTCTGGAATGGCTCCCTAAAACTCAAAAGAAAACCCCAAGTTCTTATAATGGTTTACAAGGCCCTACAAGACCAGACCCTTGCCTAACTAATCATCTAGTCGCACAAGTATGTTCTAGCCAGGTTTCACTTCTGATCAACATACACACATCAATCTCATTCCCCATCGCAGGGCCTCTGCGCCACCTTCCCCCATAGACACTACAGAAAATAAGCTGTAGTAGATAAGAGTAGGAACTGGTCTAGTTTGCCTATCTTGATATCTCCAGTACCCATAATAGGTACTCAGTAGATATTGAGGGACTTAACGATGAAACCATCACATCAGAATTTTTACTTCTGTCTACCCTCGTAATCTGTGGGCTCCTTGGAACTAGGGCTGGGTATTATTTCTGTATCCCTAATACTAGTGCTTAGTACATAGCTGGTACTTATAACCATTTGCTTAGTAAACGGAAAATGTGCTTTTGCTCAACTCAAATCTTCAGGCCTTTTCCATTTAAACTAATGTCCAGCAGTAAATCTCTCCTATCCTGATCTTATACAACTGAGTTTTGAAACTTAAATGCAGAACTCCTGAAACTCAATATTAAATAACAGTCAATTAAAAAACAGACAAAAGATTATCAGATGAATTGGAAATAAGCAAAGGAAGAAGTGACCAGCAGCGCTTAGTCATCTGGGAAATGCAAATTAAAACCACAATGAGATACTATTATTTCATACCCACCACAATGGCTAAAAGTTAAAAATCCAACAACGTCAAGGACAGGGAACTCTCAGATGTTGTTAGTGAAAGTATGTACCACTTTGGGAACAGTCTGGTGGATTATTTAAAAAAACAAACATACACCTAGTCCAAGAGCAATTCCACTCCTAGATTTTTATCCAAACAAAATGAAAACATGATGTCCACAAAAAGATTCGCACGAGAATGTTCATAGCAGCTTTATTCACAATAGCCAATATTTGAAACAGCCCAAGTGTCCATCAATATGAGAATGGATAAACAAACCGTAATATTTTTATATATGTAATAGAAAACTACTCAGCAACAAAGAGAGACGAGCTATTAATATCTGCAACATGGATGAATCTGAAGCATAAATACACAGGTTACACTTATAAAGTTTTAGAACAGGCAAAACTAATCTGGTGAAAAATTCAGAACAGTGGTTGTTCTTTCCCTGTCCTGCAGGGGAGGGGCAGGTATTAACTGAGAAGAGAAGAGGCAGGAGAGAACTCCGAG